GGATATTTTGTATTCACGTCTGATTTTAATTCAGCTTGGAGATGAAATTTCCGTCACAGGGATAGAACGAATACTCAATTTGATTGCACTTTAAAAGCGAGTGCGTTTTGCGGAATTTGTAGTCCTCTTCCGACTTTCTTCAAATTTGCGATTTCTCTTTAAAAAACAGTTCGTTGAAAAAACGGCCGGCTTCGCGTAAAAAATTGATCTTGTGTGCTGGAAGTCTACGTGTTCCCTTAATGCAACGCTTTCGTCCCAGTCGACGCATTTTCTCCTCTCCTCTCAAACCCCGCCCTTCGTCCCCCTGTGCAGAATAAGGCCAAAACATAGCCACTGTGAGTATAATTGTTAAATTGCAGTGCAGAAATCATTTACACTGTTAACGATCCGCAAGCCCAGCAGAAAAACGCATTATCGCAACGGCAAACCTGGTGCGTTAAAGCCTGCGATTATATTTGCATAAATGTGAAAAGCATAATAATTGACTTGCTTCCTATGCTCTCCGCATAAGCACACATAGTGCTAATATCCATGAAAATACACTTAGTCAGAACACTTTTCAGTTAACGGAATTGCCGCAAGGTGTGCTGGCGATGTTGAATGCAATGCACACGAACGACGTGCACACAGTACTGTATAAGAATTTAGCAAATTTACTAGATTTATTATCCCTGATCAATTGTTATGTTGGTTTTATCACTTACTGTTTCCTGAGTTCGAAGTATCGGCAGACATTTCTAGTCATGTTTATTGATTCGTAAGTTTCCAGAGTTCGAACTGAAGAATTCTACTTTTCTATGAATTAATCCTCACACATTTTTTGTGACCGATACGTTCAGTATTTATGCGTTTTACTGATGCAGAACTGTTGCCCTACAACAGTCGGCAAAAACGCATATTGTGACAACCGATGGCGATGGTTAAATCAAAATCTTTAGCTTACATGACAACGCAGACCAATCTTGCGAAGTTTCAGCTACCTATCTTGTCAAGCTCCCGAAATTCTCCACCAAAAATTTGTTTTCTTTCGGCTTTTGCGCATGGGATTTAATTACCGGTGAAAAATAATATTTAGGATTATGGGACGGTCGCACATAGCATAGGACCATATCCCAAAAGTTTCAGCTTTTTAGCTTTTCTGGTTGCTGAATTGAAAGTGGTGACAAAATGTGGGTGACAAAAAATCAGATACAGGCGTACACCAGCACTGACACAAACACACGCACAAACATTAGCCAATACGCGTTTCTGCATTTGCATAGGTATGCAAAAATGCATAAAAAGAACTGGTGTAAAATGTGAGCAGTCAGTTCAGTTAGCACTAGATCGGTCACTTCTTGAAATAGGATGTTGGGGTCTAATAATGCATGCAGTCTTAATAATTATAGTAGCATTAATGCTTGCGTGATTGATGTGTCGTGTATTTTTCAGAAAGCGCAAAATGCCAAATTTCTTGTGCGACCGATCTGAAAATTATTCGACTGTTATAAAGAATTAGGAATTTTCGACTGACGAAAGATGGTGCCAGAGGGCAATTAGGTTGTATCCTGGCTTCCTGCGAGGAATCCCAGTACAGACCGGAAAACAATCCTTGCGGGCGAATGGTCATCAGACAGTTGCACCAAAATGACATCAGCAATGCTCTGAAACAAATTC